TTATAATATTTGATGATTAAATTGACATTTAAGAGTGTTAATTGTTTCGTAAAATATAAATGAGAACCTTTATATGGACCGTTCAAAAAAGGAAAATGGGAACCTTAGAATAAGACAACGAGAGTACGTGATAATACTCATATGGACAAGTTTTCAAAATGGAGTATATATTTAGCACATACATTTAACAGTTCTACACATTTGTAGTTAATTATTATGGAGTAGAATCTAATTGTACATAAAATATTATAGGGGTGGGGATATCAGTTTGGTTTAACCTAGCTAACCGAACTGAACTGTCCAACGTGCTTTCCCTAGGGTTCCCTATCTGAAAGCTTATATAGAAAATTGATAAAAGTGGCTGAAGTGGGGTCCCTCATGGTTGTGCGCACGGCATGCGGACTACCATGCGGACCTCCGCATGTTTCTGATGCCTAATTTCTTTGGTCGTCCGCACGGCGTGCAGACCTCGCACTGTCTAACTACTATACCCTTGGCGTCCTCTTCTCTGTATAATATAATGAGTTATTGATGAAAACTGTGATATTATAGATGAATTGTTTTTAATTTTATATTTGATGATTAAATTATTATTTAAGAGTATCAATTATTTTCTAAAATAAAGAATGAAAACCTTTAACTCGAATGTCAAAAATATGAAAGTGTGAACTTTTGAATGGGGCGGAGTGAGTTGTACAAAACTGAAAGTAAAATTTAAAATTTAAATTTTCTTTCCCGAATTACGTAATAACAAACTACAACATTGTCAATGTTTGATTTCCAAATCATAGTGTTTGATTTTCCCATCGTTAGAGGGACTTAGGGAAAATAATTTATTGAGAGATATACCTAAATAGGACTAAAACATATGAAAAACTCCATTACAGGACTACTAGTTTCATCTGGAGTAGCATAGGACTAAAATAACGGTGGAATGCCGAAATTGCCCTGCGCCTCTCTTCTTCATTCGCCACTTGCGAGCCCTGCTGTGATCTCAATCTTTGTTGCAAGTAAGTTCTTCTTCCTCTTCCTCTTCCTCCTCTTCCTCTTCCTCTTCTTCTCTTCTTCTGTCCCTTTCTCTTCTCCTCTCTTCTATTTTCTTCCTCCTCGTACTCTGTTTCAATTCATTTTTATTTTGGTTTTTTAATTTTTAGTCCACTTTCTTACTTCTGGGATTCTAAAAAATTATGTTAGATTAGAAAATTTTGGATGAGAAATTAAAACAAAGCCGCAACAATTTTCTAATCCTCTTCAAATTTTCTAATTTTCATTTTTTGGATTTGAATTAATTTATTAATTTGGATTTTTGGATTTGAATTTTATTTATTCAGCAAAATTCCACTTCTATAATAAGAGAATGTCAAAATTCTTGGCTATTTGAAAAAACTGTCACGTTTGTGGCAGTATATTTTTCAGGATGACAATATGGAAATGTCATGTGTCCATAAGAAAATGTCATTCTTATGGCATTCTATGGCATTTTTATGGTTTATCTAAGAATGACATAACTACTTGTTATTACAAATGACATGTTTTCTTACATGTTTTCCAAATGATGTCATTTTTATCTTAAACTCTCTCTTTAAAGATGGCTATATGTAATTGCCACATTCATGACGTTTTGAGAGCAAACACATCATTTCAAAAAACAAAAAACGGAGGAAGAAGAAGAAAATCCATGGAGGAGACAAAGAGGCCGGAGAAGAAGAACGACTGTCATGTTGTTACATATGCAATTGCCACATTCATGACATTTTGAGAGCAAACACAACATTTTAAAAAAAAAAAAAGAGGAAGAAGAAGAAAATCCGTGGAGGAGACAAAGAGAAGGAGAAGAATAAATTAGAGGAAGAGCTGAATTTCTGAAATTGGTGGAGTTTCCAATAAACAAATTGAATGGAGATGGAGGAAGCAGAACAAGATCAAACCTGGAGTACTTTGAGACATAGCAGGAGAAGAAGATTGAACTTGGAGACTATGTAACGGGTAGTGCAGGAGAAAAGAAGAACGGACTGTACATGTGAAGAAGATCGATGATGTTGGAAGCGGTGTCTATGAGCAGGACAGAGCGATGAGAAAAGCAAGGGCAATTTGGACATTGAATAAATGGCGTAAACTTAAATTAGGAGCGGATGACTCCTATAATGGGGGAAAATGTGTTATGTCCTACTTTGGCTTTTTATCATAATGTAATTTATGATAATGTTTGATTTATTTGATTTCCAATCATAATGTTTTTATTTGATTTCCAATCATAATGTTTTTATTCTATCATATAAAATGTAATTTATTTGATAAAGGTTTGTACGACGTGACTAGGGACAAAATTTTAAAATATGAAAGTTCAAGTTGATTATAAATTAAAAGTTCACTATTTATTACTTTGATTAGTACTCCGTAGTCCGTACTAGTTAAGAAATGAGATGAAGAGTCCGTTTGCCAAACACTGTTTTTTGACTTATCAGGTTTATCGGCCAACTTTTTCACAAAACACGTAACTTTTGCTTTCGCGCGTTCAATTGTGTAATAAGCAGAAAAAGTAAGGTTGAAGTTACTTTTCTGGCTATATTGGCTAAAGTTATTGTAGATGACTATTTTAGCTATTTTTATATATAATTTTATTAATAAAATATATTTTAAAAATAATTTTTTATTAAATCAGCAGAATCAGCCAATGCAGCCAATGCAGCCACTTCAGCCAGAACTTCATAAATTTCAGCAGAATCAGCCAAATCGGCCGGTTTTCGTGCTACCAAACGGGCTCCAAGTAATTAGTGAACAAGTCGCTTCTTTTTTACAAATCAAGAAAGGAGAAATCGTCATCAATGAGACCAGCAAATATCCAAATCTCTAAAATATTCTCACTCAAGAAGTGGCTTGAAAAGAAGAAAGTTTGTCGGCTGACTCAATTCGTAAGCGCTGACTCCACCTATTTTATTGTAGGAACGTATTGTAGGAATGTAATTCGGGAAAACCTATTGAACGGGTAGGCGTAGCTCAACTGGTAGTGAGGGAGTGCCATAAGGGTTAGATTTCAGGTTCGACTTCTGGCAACTGCCATAAGTACTGGAGATGGAACCTCACTCTCTATCTGTCAGTGTTTATAGTCCAATTTACATTCCCCCATCGTGTCGTCCGGTCAGTGTTGGGGGCTCTCGGGATGAGGTGTCTATCCTTTTTTGGAAAACCTATTGAGATGCTTAACAACAGAGAGAGGGAGAAAAGGCATGTTTTGGCCTTTTGGGTTATTAAAGAAAGTGAATTGATGAAAGTTGACAAAAATGAAGTTATTCAACAGCAACATATGGAGTAAGATAAATTTAGGCAAATCAATAAATAATTAGGTAATTCCCGTGTGCTTTAATTTCAAGTCCTATCCTTGCCACAACCTGAATAGAATAGGGATACAAAATTTTAAATTTGAAAGTTCAAGTTGATTATATATATTAAGAGTTCATTATTTACTTCGATTAGTACTCCGTATTAGTACCCGCACGGTTAGCTCAATTGGTCGAGTGGTGAGAAATTTGGATCAATGGACCAAGATTTGAATCCCCGCAGCGACCGGATGTAGGTTACAGAACCTGAAATATGGCTGGACATCTGGCGTGCACGAATTATAGGTCTACTATCACTATACTGACTAAGTCACCGTGACTTACTCCATCATCCTGTCAGGTCAGAATGTAGAGGCTCCTGGAGTAGGAAATTCCACCTTTTGAATCAAGAAATGAGATCACGTAATTGGTGAACAAGAGGTATCTTTTTTACAAATAAGGAGAAATCGTCATCAATTACACCAGCAAATATCCGAAACTAAAATATTCTCGCACTCAAGAAGTGGCTTGCAATAAGAAACTCAAGAAAGTTTGTCGGTTGACTCAATTCGTAAGCGCTGACGCCCCCGCGATATATAAAATACGAAGATGGTGTTTTGGCCTTTTGGGTTAATTTAATTAATAAAGCAAAAGTCATACGGAGTATTTTATTAAAGAAGGTGGATTGACGAAAGTTAGACAAAAATTAGAGCCCGTTTGGTAGCATGAAAATTGACTGGTTTTGTAGAAATTTATAAAGTTTTGGCTGAAGTGGTTGCATTGGCTGATTGTGCTGATTTAAGAAAATATTATTTTTAAAATATACTCCGTATTTTATTAATAAAATAAATTAAAAATTATACCCAGAGTTAAGGCGGAGTATGTAAAAATAGCTAAATTGTCATCCAGAATAACTTCAGCTAATACATCTAGAACGTCCTGCAAAATGCTCTATGGCCGAAATAACTTCAACCTTACTTTTTCTGCTTATTACACAATTTAGCGCGCGAAAGCAAAAGTTACGTGCTTGGTGAAAAAGTTGGTTGATAAACCTGATAAGCCCAAAAACACTGTTATACAAAGTATTTTATGAAATATTAAACATTGTTCAAATATACCATTCCAAACGATTTACTTTCATGAACCCAAATCGAACTAAAATGCCATTTTTATCGGATAAAAAGCAATGCGGAGATTTGATTGAATTGATCGATTAATTTTTATCCCGTCTTTGGTCGATTAATTTATGAATTGAAGCATTCAAAAAATGCTAAATGTAATTAGAAACTACTCAAAGAACCATTTGTATGAAAAAATAAATATGGGATCATATCTCTTAAGATGCGGGGTTCCACCCTAAAAAGTCTACCTGATAGGACTGTAGGAGTAGTAGCTCAAAGCCTTATATATAGTGTTTTTTTGTTATATAGCTATCTGGTGTGAGACAAAGACTTTAACAATACCAATGTTTCTAAGTCGTCTGAGTTTATTAAGATTACATCAAAGGAGTATTAGTGAGATTGAAGTAATGAATTTAGAACAACAATTAGCTTTGAAATTAAAGGTAGGAGTAAGCTGGGGGTTTCAAAAGAAAGATTCTTGTCTTGTGATAATGGGAAAATGGAAGATGCATGCTAGGGTCTCCACAACTAATAAGTCTATAAATAACGCACCATGATTGGTGCTAAACGTTATTCCAAGTACTAAATCTGAAATCTCATAATAATATATTGTTTTCTCAGCTAAACATAATTAAGATCAAAGTAACCTAAAAGGATGGTGCCTAAGGTCTACGGCAGCTTGATGTCACCGGCGACGTTGAGAGTTATTGCATGCCTCAAAGAGAAGGAGCTCAAGTACGAACTTGTCCCGGTTAATTTGCAGGCCGGAGAACACAAAAAAAAACCTTTCCTCCTACTAAATGTACGTGAGTCCAGCAACTCTAGTAAAAAAAATTAACTAATCTTCCAATCTTTAATGAATTTATATGTATTGAATTGGTAGCTTAGTATGTACTAATTCATGTATATATCCCGTCCTTGGTCGATTATTGTGGCAGCCCTTTGGTCAAGTGCCAGCTTTCGAGGACGGAGATGTGAAGCTCTATGGTAATGTTATGTTGTACTAATTCTATTTCATCACATTTAAATTTATAATAATTGGACTTTCAGGGTGTTTAAATATCATGGGTTTTTTATCATGAGCATATAAAAATATATACGGAGTAGTTGTAAATTTTGTAATAAACTAACATTTCAATTTGAATATATATATATATATATATATATATCAAAATAAAATATTAGGCTTGAAAAACTTTTAATTTTAGAACTTATGGAAAGAAATATTTGAGAAGTTTGACACACTTCGTTTTTAATTAGAAACAATTCCACCGATGATCATACACTTATTAATTATCATCTATATATCATTTTTTTATTAAGTTATTTTACTTTTTTGATTCTTTTTCAGTTTTAGACACTTATTACATACAGGGGCGGACCGTAGTACAGACCCAGGGGCAGTCGCCCCCCCCCCCCCCCCCCCCTCCCCAACAACAACAAATTTTTTTAGTGTCTATATATAATAAAAAATAATTTTCACCCTCCAAAAAATATTTTGTTTAAGTTACCGCCCTCCCAAGACAAACTTTCTGGGTCCGCCCCTGATTACATACATAGTATCATGTACATCATTATATTATTCTATGAATGAAAGGTCATGCACATTCCCACCAGAAGAAACGGAAACATACAAACTTAAAATGTTATTTCAAAAAACTAATAAAGAGTTTGAGTTCGTTGGTTGGTAATTCATCCTGAACAAATATACAAATACAAACACTTATGCAAGGCCTTATACAGTACATTATTTTTCCTATATCTTTTACGTACCTTTTGATTAAGGTAAGACTCAAAAGCTTAATATTACTTTAGAGCTAATTCACCCCAAACGAGCAATTCAGTCAATTTATGTCAGAACAATGATGAGCTAGAACGTAGGCTAGCTTCTAGATGTATACACTGCAATGAGCTACCATTTTGTGGTGCAAGTTAACCCATCTCACACTTTCTAAGTATGAAAATACATACCCACATATTAATACAATGCAAACTCATACACAAAACTTTGAATAGTATAAAAGTGCAGACTTCATATAAGGTTCGTTGATCACTTTCTAAGGTGAAACTCGAAATGTTCATCAACTAATCGGTTGAATTAGATGCATTGGGCATGAAGAAATTAAGGCTTATTGTTATGTTCTCAATAATCAATATATATATGTTGTGAACGTTGTGTGATCTTATAGAGTCACGAGCAATAACCCGATACATTGAACGCACATATGCTGATCGTGGGAGCCAATTGGTCCCTAAAGATTTCGATAATAAAGAATTGGCGATCATGCGGGTGTGGATGGAGGTTGAGGCTCAGCATTTTGATAAGGTGGCATCTAAGCTGGTCTTTGAGCTCATCATAAAGCCAATGACCGGCAGAGTGAGCGACGATGCTGACGTGGCACGACATGAGAATGCGCTCACCAAGGTTCTCGACGTGTACGAGAAACGACTTAAGGTGTCAAAATACTTGGGCGGGGAATATTTTACATTGGTTGATCTTCACCACACACCTATCATAAGTCAACTCATGGGTACTAAAGTGAAGGATAGTTTTCAAGAGCGTCCACATGTTGCTGCTTGGGTTTCTAAACTCTTGGCCAGACCTGCTTGGGCTTCAAGTTCCAACTCTTCATCGTTTCTCTTGTGTTTTGAGTGTTCCATCTATGTCATAATATTCTGTGTTATGTTGTACGTACTCTGTATATACTTGAGCACATTTAAATTTCTCTTATGTGAATTTGTACAATGGCATTTTACTATCTGAAATTATGTTGTGGGCTTTAAAAAATAATAATACCATATACTTAAATATGTGAAATGATTGGCTCTACTATTGGTTTATAAGTCTACATATCAATAAGATTCCGTTTACAATTTAGAAATTTGACTAACAAAACATACTCATAGTTAAATAGTACTCCCTCTGTCCCGGGTAAAGGTTCTCGTCGATTTAGTGTGTTTGAATGGCTATAAGTTAATTGATTCATGTCTTTATTTTAGTAAATAAAATTTACATATTCAAAAACTACATTAAAATTTTAAAAAGTCGCAAGAAAATCAAATTAGATAAAAGTTTAATTTGTAAAGTAAAAGATTAAGAACTATTTAAATTGACTGGAGAGTAGTGGACGAGAACCATTATTTGAGACACGGGTAAGACTTAACTATAGTTAAATACTTCATCCCTCCCAATTTGAGTTGCAAAATTAACTTTTTTGTCAAACAGACTTATTTTTTGCAAAATTGACTTTTTTGTCAAACAGATTTAACTATAGTTAAATACTTCATCCCTCCCAATTGGTAAAAGTAGATAGACTTATTTGACAGTTTTCCCTAAAATTTATCATTGTTCATTTGTTTGTATGCTTCTATTTGGGCCATTCTGTATCAAACTTTATAGATTAACATTTAAGTGGTGTAAGACTATTTGTAGTAGTTGGGTATTAGGAGTCCTAAATGTTAAAGATGGAATTTTTGGACTCCTAATTTCATATAGTGGTAGACTAAATGGGACAGTAAAAGTGGGTAAGGGGTGGAGGGTTTTACATATGGAGGGAGGATGGACTCTCAAGCCTAAACAAATGGTGGACATATGTGGGGGAGAGTAGGAGAGGGAAGTGTGCATGGATGAGTGCATCACATAAAAAGTATTTTTTCTTTATATGTATTATAACTCTTTTATTTTTAATTCAAATTTTATAAGAAATATATCAAAATTTATGAATTTTTATAATCTATCATATGACATCAATATGTAATATATAAAATGGAAAAAAAACTGAAGTTTTAATTGTTGAAGTTTTCTTGAGTCTAAAAAACACAAAACACAAATTTTAAATTCATGGAGCCTTAACAAATAACCGAATATTCCATAATTGAACTTTACTTGAATTAAGTTCATTTTTTATTGACCGAAAAACGTTAAAAAAAGTTAATGGAATTTATTTATTTTTACATCGAATTGTGTGTTTTTTTCCCATAATTATTCAGGAAAAAATTTAAAAGGAAAACATTACTTACAATAATTTAATTAATGTTTTATTAAATTGATATGTAAAAAAAATATGTTGAGTGTATTTGATTGACGGTGCTGGAATGCAGAGAAAAAGGAGTCAAAACACTATTTTCATATAGACGGAGTCCATTTTTGACATTTTGACGTCCATATCACTCCAAATGGTCTAAGCAGTTTAAACTTGTTCAGCCCGCCTCCCACGTTGTGTATGGACTGCTTCTTAGGGATGGACTCGGGCCGGGCCAACCGGCCCGGAACCGGACCGGCTCGCTACTGTGCGGGCCCGGACCGGCCCGGTGAACCGGTTTGTGCCCGGTTTGGGCCACCCGGCCCGGTGGTATAGCGGTCCAGGCCCGGGCCTCCATTTTAGTGAACCGGCCCGGTTCGAGCCGGAATTTAATTTTTTTTTTTTTGAAATTTTTTAAAGTTTTGGGTTGGATTAGGTATTTTGGGCCATTTGAGGTGGTTTGGGGTGGAGGGGGAGGGGTAGGGGGTTAAATAAGAGAAGAAGAAAAAAAATTAAAAATCCGGGTGGCCCGGCCCGGCCTGGCCCGGTCTGGCCCGGAACCGGACTCGGAACCGCCCACTACCGGTTCGGGCTCGGGCCTCATTTTTCTGAACCGAGGCCGGGCCCAGGCCCGAACCGGAACCGGTCCACCCCTACTGGAAAAGTTTTTTTTTAACGGGAAGCATGTTGAACCTTTGTGGGATCGCCGATCTGTTCTCATCATATCACCGCTGCTGGAAAATAAAATTAGGAGAAGTTTGGTTTAGACCTGCACAAAAGCGGGTTCGGGCTGGGCTCGGGCCGGGCTTTTCATAAGTTTTCTGCCCATCGTGTGTGGGCAGGCCCGGCCCGCAAAAACGGGCCTAACCCCATGTCCATACCCGCCCGTAAGAGCGGGCCGGGTAGTCCACCGGGCCCGGGACGACTTTATAAATAATATTACAACATTAAAAAAATTGCTAATACGCTTATAATGTATATAGGTCTTTCATCACATACACAAAAAATATTCACACAAAAATAATAATGAGAAACTATATCTAAAATTTAAAATTCATGCATGCACAAAGTATTATCGTTAAGTACAAAAATAGATATTATATTGGTTAAACTATTTGTTAAGAACTAAAAACTTAAAATTAAACATAATAAACTATAAATATGTATACAGATAAATTAGTAAATATAAAAATATACATGTGTACATGTAAATAAATACATAAACTAGTATATATAAAAATATATATGTATACTCCCCCCGTCCCCTTTTAAATGGGACGGGAGATGGTGGCACGGGTTTTAAGAAAAGTGAGTTTGTGTGGTTGATATTAATTGATAAAGTAAGAATAAAGTAAGAATGATTTTGAGCCACACAAAGTTTACCAAATAAGGAATGGGGCAATTAAATAGGGACATCCCAATATGGTAAAACGGGGCATTTAAAAGGGGACGGAGGGAGTATATACTAAATGTAGCGGGCCATGCTTATCGGCCCAAACGGGCCTACACCCTAACCCAAGCCCGCTCATATGTTGTTGCGGGCCGGGCACGGGCCGGTGGGTAAATATATATGCCCAAGCCCGCTAATTTGTGCGAGCAGGCTGGTCGGGCCGGGCGGGCCAGCCCAGTTTTGTACAGGTCTACTTTGATTGTATTTTGTATCGATATTTCGTAGAAATAGTAAATGATTAGATGAAAATATTTAGAGAATCCACTGTTTTTGTTGGAAATAATTGGATGTGTATCCACATGAACTTCATTGAATGTGCACATTAATGTTGTGTCCATTTTGTGGGGTGCAATTCACATCATCACATTCAAGTGATTCAACTTCAAGTAATTGTGTTTGTCAATTAATGAAATTTGGATAATCTCAGTTAATTTTTTTTTTCAAACTGTCAAGCCATTCGGGATTGAGTAAAAAAGAGTGAGGTGGAGCTTAGGGATGGATCGGTTCCGGACCGGGCCAGTCCAAGCCGGGCTTTTTTGGGGGGAAGACCCGGAACCGGCCTGGGATTCCACCGGGTCCGGAGCGTTCAATTTTTTTTTTTGTTTTCTAATTAACCCCGACCCCCCACCCCCAAAACACCCAGCCCAACCCGGAAAAACAAAAAAAAAATGAGAAAACAGAAAAAAAAAAAAAAAAAAGGTCCGAACCGAGCCAGGCCTGGCCGCGCCGGTTCCTATTTCCCATGACCCAGGCCCGCTTTTAGTAACACTCGGTTCCGGCCTAACCGGACAGTCTAGGGCCTGGTTTCCGGATCGGGCCGGTTCCAGATAGTGCCGGACCAGCCCAGGCCATGGGCCGGACGGCCCGGAACCGGTTCATCCCTATTGGGGCTGGTCCCAAACAATGTCAAGCCCGGTTTTGGACTACTCGCGAGCGACAGACTCCGTACACCCCTAAAAAAATTCCCGCATACCAAAATATATGTGCTTTCGTTTTATAAAAAAAATATCCTTACAAATTATTATTAATCATTTAACATTGCTTTATATTTTATTTTTATGTCTACAAAATGTATATGCATATATTATTATTTGCCAGTGAAACGCCCCTGTCCTCCAACAAGTGTTTATATTCTCCTAAAAGTGTGTACATATTCTGAAAAAGAGTACCATAATAATTTAACATTTTCATACACCAAATGACATTGTGAATCCTATATTTAAATTAAAAGTAAATAGATAAAATAATTGTCCTTTTTATCTTTATTTTCTTTCTTTTCCTTTTGGTGGTGTTATCATTAGGGATGGCCTCGGGCCGGTTCGGGCCCGGTTCGGGCCTAGGCCCGGCCGGTCCTCGGTTCAGAAAAATGAGGCCCGAGCCCGAACCGGTGGTGGGCGGTTCCGGGTCCGGTTCCGGGCCAGACCGGGCCGGGCCGGGCCGGGCCACCCGGATTTTTAATTTTTTTTTTCTTCTTCTCTTATTTAACCCCTACCCCTCCCCCTCCACCCCAAACCACCTCAAATGGCCCAAAATACCTAATCCAACCCAAAACTTTAAAAAATTTCAAAAAAAAAAAATCCGGCCCAAACCGGGCCCGAACCGGCCGGGCCGGTTCACCAAAACATAGGCCCGAGCCCGAACCGCCCAAAGGCCGGGCCGGTTCGACCCGAACCGCTGGGCCCACCGGTTCCCGGGCCGGGGCGAGCTCAATAGTAACCGGGCCGGGCCGGTTCCGGGTCAGGCCGCCCGGCCCGAGTCCATCCCTAGTTATCATGTATCAATTCATGTTAGCCGACCCCAATATCTTTTGGGACTAAGGCTTGGATGTTGTTGTTGTTGATGTTGTTGTAGATAATAATTTTCCCCTTGTCCGGTGTTAGAGCCATAACTTAGATGGCCTCAGGCCACATGCTCTAATTCCATCTATTGATCTAAGTTACATACTGGAGGATAAGAAGGGGGGATGAGGGGGTTGGAAGCCACAAGCCAGGGATTGTAAGTTGGATGTGAATTGCTAACCTAGAAAAGTGATCCACTCAACAGCTTCTATGAACAACTCAGTACAAAAAAGTTGATCATCCATCCTTCTTTGATGTATCAATTGTCTTATCCGCATACGGATATTCTGGTGAAGCTGCCCATAGACCTCCCAGAATGACTAAATGTGCAGAAAGAAGCAAGATGGATGAGTAAATACTGGATGGGTAGACATTCCAGCACAACTCCACTAGTGCGAACAACACCAAACTGGAGAGAAATGTGAAACTGTTAAAAACAAGAATAATAGAATGCAGCAAATAAAGAGCAGCAAACCGCATAAAATTACCGGACAAAGGTTGGGAACGGTGTTTTCCACAGTAAATACGGTATGCTAAAAAAGTACCTGAGATAACAACAGAAAAAAGACCAAAATGAAATGCAATTTCTATTTCATTTGGAACCTAAAGCTTCATCATCACTTTTGGAATATACAACACAAAATCAACAAATTCAATCACTCACGTAGATCATAATGACACAGAGAGGGCTGAAGTCCCAGATTGGAATATTTAAGAGAAAATGCATGCATAATAGCTTGAGTTGAACTAACTAATTGATTAGTTTCAATCTTTTAGTGTGAATCTGTACACTATGACGCTGTTGAGTAATCCCACGCCAACCCAATCCTAAATTCTACGAGGGAGGGCGTAAGGTCGTCAAATTACTAGTTGTCAATAGAACGAACCAAGCAATTCGAAGCACACTAGAGGTATACATGGATCGAACCTGATGGACCATCAAGAATGGAAAAGTGGTGGCATACTGGCATATGCACTGCTTTGGGATGGACCCAGGAGGAGTTGCACATTCATTTTATTACATAGATCTACATGGCTTTCTATCTCATTTAACGGAGGATGTTCCTCGTGCATAAATAAAAGATTTAGCTCCATTGTAATTCTTCTTCTCTTTAGCTTATATTTATTATTTATGCACTCATTCTCCTTCCCTGGTTGCTTCATCTCCTACTCCCACACAGGGTCAAACATCATCGACACTAGTGCCTCCAAGGGATTATCTACGTACAAGTGGCAGAGTTGGTATAAGCACCAATCACCAATGCTGATCCTTGCTGAGGTGAATCCCAGCCTCTCAGAATCGTGATATACCTCGTCTTTACATGCCTAGAGAGTGGGCGGTGGAGGGGCATCCCGGTGAACAATTTCACTTCTTGGTAAAATTAATATTAAAGACAAGCACACGTGTAGCAAAACTGCAGAGCATAGCTTACCAAGAGTAAAACTGATAATGGAGGGAACGAGCACATATTATGCCAATGAAGTTTCCGACGAACATTGTAGTCACAATATCTGAATGCAGCCAAAGGAAAATAATCCATATTCCATTAATTCATGAATGGAGGGGTGAAAACAAATATATCAAGAGAAGCCAAATTGCCCATCATGAAAGTAAATGTCAGACCAAATCATAGAAAAGAGAAAATGGTGACACAAACTTACGGTCTGGTTGAATATATTTGTGGCCTAAACTTTGATAGGAAGGTGTTTTACACAATACGGAGAATAACGTTACAATCCTGTGCTTCACATGAATAATCTGAGACTTTAAGATAGTAAAAAGTCCCCCTTCATGTCTGTAGAAGATATATTGTTATTCAGTCGATCTCAAGTCAATCCCAGTTTCATATTAATAGCATATCTACTGAATGAAAGGTGAACACTTATATCTTTGAGGTTGAATCCAACATCACAGCATCTAGCTATGTGATACAAAAAGCACAATAAAAATAGACCAAGCTGTTCTCTTTCTAAAATGCTCATTTTTCAAGAAAGTACTACATATAAAATATTATTCCTGACCTGCACCATCTAAAGTGAGCAAAAACACCAAGCAGTGTCAGGTGAACAGCCAACAAGGAGACTGCAAATGTTTTAGAGATAAACATCTCCTCAGGTACAAATTTGAAGTTAACAGACCTGAAATTAATAAAAACATAAAAATAAAAACTGGCATTTGTACACAAGCAATTGCTTAGATGAGAACGCAATAGGCTAATTGGGTGAGTAAAAAACTCAATCAATTTGTCTGTTACATACTAATGTGCAATTTAAAAAGTTGTTCAGGTATACTATTCTTAGTCCTGAAATAAGTGGGAAGAACCAAATACACCTACTTATGTTAAACAAGCAAAAACTCTAATACATAAATAATCATATGATTGGAGATATCAGCAAGTACAATCAGTATGCTATACTTGCAAATGCATGATGGGATTAGCTAGAGGTTTTTTTTACTCAAAGTTTTAAGTATAACCGAAGGACTCAATCAATTAACAGGTTAAAAGTTGCTACTAATTAGATCCGTTGAAGAGTTGTGTCTCTGCCAGAGAATTAGAATTGATATCATAAAGCAACCATCTTTTTATAATACAGTGTAATCATAAAAACCAATTGATGCAGCATATCTCCATTTATTTGTGTTTTAGAAAGTACCAAAAGTGGATGAATACACGGCCAAGATTGAAAGCTCCTGATATATATGAAACTGGATGTGGCAAGATAAAGGGCAGCCCTATCACAATCTGCACCAGTTACAGTTGTTTGCAAGATGATGAAGAGACCAATCTCGCCAAATATGTTCACCAAGTCTTATATAGCATGTAAATCTGACTCACCTAATTATAGAGAAATAAAAACTAAGTTGTAAATCTTATAATAATAAGGAAGATCTCAATAACAAGCAGATCTTCTTTGACCTCTCAAATTCAATATCTCAATGTAACACTTCCCACCATCCCAAAAAAAGAGTCATGTCTCAGAGTGAGGTAGAGCATTTTATTTTAAGTCAACTCATTCAAGGTTCAGGATTTTACAACTTATGAAATTATAGCCTCCGAGCTTATTTCCAAGATTGTTTTGAATACTTGATAAATACCCTTTCCACTTAGCTTTAAAGAATTTTACGTAATACTGAAAGTTGACTTTTAAACACACTCCTTTATGGGACAAAAAAAGTCTCGAAACGTGTCTTTTTTTAGATGCAGATCGTAATCAATAACATTTAGATGATAAACTAAAAAATAAGCACCTGCACAAGAGCTGCCCCAGCTAGAGCAGATATAACCCCATCAATACTCATTGCCTGCACATTCCAAACACAGCACAAACCATGTTTAGAAATTAATCATGCAACGCTACACCCAATTCCATAAAGCATGGTCTGGCCTAAATACCTTCATCATGATGAGCAATAAAGCGGGGGCATAAAGAAGCACATTCATTTTCACGGAAACAGCTGCACTGTACCAATAAGAAAGTTGTTACTCAATCTTTAACAACCCAGAAGATGAAAATAAATCATAGTTCAAACTAAATACGGTCCCATTTGGTAGCACAAATTGGCATATCAGTTAGCCAGAACAAAAAGAAGAGTAGCCAAAATCAGTAGGCATTAGACTTATTTACTTGCCTGAAATTGATTTGACCGAACTCAGTTAATTGAGCCATTTCAGCCAATAACACATGGTTAAAAGAGCCCAAAGGCCCAAACATCACTAATAGAGTGCAATACAATTACCTGAATATTACTAGACCTAGATGCCACTTCTGATAAATAAGTGAGAGAAGCGCACCATGCAGGATAGTTGTGGCCAAACAATCATTGAATAAGCGAAGCACGAAGATGGAGTGAACCCTTTTGGACAGAGAAAGCAATACCAAAGCCCACCAGGGAACCTGTGTACATTAACTAATTTTACAGTAGATAATATATATATATATATATATATATATTATACACACACACACATTCAAATACACACACCCAATGAAACTATTATGCACTCAAGAAAATACTGCATTTAATTGACAAGCAATTAAAATGAAAAATTCAATAGAATGGATATACATACCACATTAGTTTTCAGATAGATGGATAGAGTAATTCCAAGGTTTAAAATGTAGAGAAATCCAAATAGAGTCTGCAATTTGAGGCCATAAATATTAAATGTGGTATTATTGGTGTTCCATGGAGATGTTTTAATTTCAAAGAAGCATAAGGCAAGTGAAAGAAACAAAATACCTGAGCAAGGAAGACTTGACCTCCGGTAACATATTGTATGGCAGAGTAAAGGTAGAGAAAGCCAGCTGGGTATACCAGAGGCCCAGTGTCTCCTTTCAGGTTCTCATAATTCCTCTCTCCTCCGAGAAATCCACTTACCTATTCAGTAATGAGCCAATGACTAACTCAGCAAAGTACAAAGGAAGATTTAGAAGGAAAAAAAGAAAAGAAAAAAGTAAACTTGAAGACAAAACTGACTCTAACCTGAGACATATAAGCATCCCAATCTATCTTTGTATCTGAAACAAGTGAATTGACGGATTACTGAATGATGTTTACATAACAGGATAAAAAACACTTTGAGATTAGAGAGTTGATGTTTACATGGAACATAGGCGATTATCAGAGAAACAAATATGGATTCAGCTACAATCAAAGCAACCGCGGTGAGTAATTTAGGATTTTTCAGAATCTCTCCAGTTCTAGAATTCGATCTCCGCAAAGCGTTGTGCTTAGCTGCAGATCGGGGCGCCATGGTTGTTCGCGCCTCGAGGTGTCGATACTCAGAAAGATCGGTTGACTAATTTTTTGAAATGTCACATCTATCCCCGTTACTTGATGCCTCCCAGGCTCACAGCCCTGATCGGCTTGTCCGAAATTCGTGATAAGCAGGATATATTTACGAATCTCTCTAATATATACTCTCTTAGTTTCAATTTCTTTGACACATTTTCCTTTTTTGAACATTTCAAAATGAATGCCGCACTTTCCATTTGGTAAATAATACAGTATCAAACAGTGTAAAAATTTGTCTAAACAATGTCAAACAGTGTTCAAACAGTAAAATTTACCCCTAAGTAAAAAAATCTTTAAATGTTGACATGTCAAACTATGTCAAAGAAAATGAAACGGAGGGAGTATTTAGGAATTTAGCTAATATATATTTAGAAATACTTTGTATTTTGGCAACTCTTCTATTATAAATATATCTATCAGGGCTCCTATTGGAGCAACCTTTCCCATTATTTTGCATGGTATCAAGAGCTCTAGGTTTGTAGATACAATTTTTTTTTTCTCTTTTTACGGTTCCCATGAACCATAGTACAATCGCCGCCGCCTCGGGGTCGACTGCCGCCACATCTACGGTAGTCTTCGATCCTTTGAGTATGAGTGTGGCTGATATGGCACAGATCACCTTCTCCGTGTCGCTGACCATGATGCTTGCTTCCAGCGTACCGATGAGTTCGCCGCCTGTTGCTGCCTATGTCCGAGCAGCCCACCTTCTTCGCGTCGCTGACCACGGTGCTTGCTTCCAGCGCATCGTTGAGTTCGCCGCCCGCTGCTACAGACACCCATTCTCTAGCCGAGTCGTGTTTGACCGCTCGCACAACTGTTCAGAGCACTACGCCTATCCCACTCTCTCTGGCGATCCTGGCATGATCCCATCGTCTTCTGTTGGGCCAGTTGGTCGTCGGCCGAGATCCTCTCCGCTGCCCACTTCATTCGATGAAGTGGCGGCGGATGGGCAAGCAAACTGTGGCGGTGACCTCTAGAACGTGTGTGGCGTCAACTGAGCTCTACCGGCTGGCGGCGGAAATGTGGCATGTCAGTGGGGGAGGGGGGCTTCCATGGTGGTTGTGGCAAAGCCTTGTACCTTTGCAAGAGTATTCATGTCCAAAGACAAAAAATTCCTATTTTGGAATTTTTGAACAACCCGTTTAATTATGATCTCTTTATCGTGTTTTACTCCTATTATGAAAAATATTCCTAAAGATTTTGGTAAAAGTGATACGGATAAGGATTATGTTTGACACAACGAACTGGAGGTTAATCTTTCAATTAGAAACTGTTGTCTAAAATAAAGTTATTGTTTGAAGATGAACTTTTATCAGTTGAATCTAAAACGTTGGTTGAATGAAGTAGCCTCATTTGAACGAGTTTCGAAAAAGCTTTAAACATATTTAGGAAAGCAGTGCTGGCAGAGAAGGGTCGACGTGTACATAAGCACCATCCACTAACGGTCGCCTCTTTCAGACATGTGTCCACCCCCCTGACGCTGAAATATTACTGGAAATTTGGGTTCCGTTTGGTTTCCATATAAAACACATATCCCCTTTCTGGGAAATAATATCCTCCGATTCTAATAGCTCAGCTCTTCCGTTTCTTTCTCCCTATCTTCCATTAGCAATTCCAGGATATTATCATTTACCTTTGAATCGCATATCATATCATGGAAACCCAACCCCTCAAACACAGAACAACCAACCGGGAAGAAGACGACGAAAACTCAAAAGGCGGAGGAGGAAGAGAGGTATATGAGATGAATAATGGAACCGCCACAACCAGAACAAGGAGGCAGAAAGCCAAACGCGGCCTTAGATCGCTGGGCATCGCCGTCGCCTTCCCTCTCTCCCTCACGCTTTTGGACATCTCCCTTTTCGGGTCAAGCCAGCAGTACCGGGCCATGGAGAAACCGTTTTGGGTCCCCCGACTTTGGGCCCTGCACTTGGCCTGCCTGGGCTCCGCTTTCCTGATGGGCCTCTCCGCCTGGCTCGTTTGGGCCGAGGGTGGGTTTCACCGCTACCCCATGGCCATGCTCTTGTACATCAGCCAGCTGGCTCTGGGCCTGGCGTGGGATCCAGTCGTGTTCAAGGCCGGCGCGACTCGGGCTGGGCTGGTCCTCTGCCTCGGGCTGGTCGGCGCGTTGGTCGGGTGCTCTCGGGCGTTCAAGAGCGTGAATCCAATCGCCGGCGACCTAGTCAAACCTTGTCTTGGGTGGGCTTTCCTCGTCTCTGTCACGAACCTTAAGCTCATAGCGTCCCGTTGAAAACTCGGGGTAGCTAGGGCAGGCCCAGCCCACGAAGTTGGGGTCAAAAAATAATTTCGGTGTAATATATGTTTTCTGTGAGATATTTTTTTAAGGTAAAATGTTACATGTATCTTAGGTGGTAATAGGAGTTTACATCAAGACCTCTCTATGGTGTTGAGAGAGCAAGCACTTAATAATTATTAATTTATTAGGTAATATACTATGTAATGTTTAGTTTTTTACCATGTTTTTTGTAAAATATTGTAAGAGCGATACATATATGTTTTTTTTCTGTATAATATTGTAAGAAAGATACAGAAATAATAAAATATCCCATGGTACGGTGTTGCTTTAAGTTTGCAACAATATGATGATTGGAGGGCATATATGGTTGTGATTTATGAATATGATGAAATTGTTAATTTTGATGTCTTATTTTTAGGTCTTGTGGTATTTTATACATGGATATGTTTGAACGTAATTTGAAAGAGGTTTAGGTTGTGTTCGGCACGCCAATTCAGCTAAAAAAGGGCTGAAATCTATAAAATCTATAAAATCCAGTCAAGTAGGAATAAAGTAACCCGTATCAGCCGGTCAATTCCAGACTTCACATTCCCGTTATATCTCTCACTTTAGGCACGCATACATGTATTCGTCTCTCCATAATTCCTTCCCATCACAGCGCACCCCGGGCTTATTGATCGACGCAGAGTTCTAGATTCAGCTATTCATTCTGCAATTGATTTGTGTCCATGGCTCCCTTTATCATGATTTGTTTAAGCATACTTGTTGTTCACAAGCTTCTTCACAGTACGTCAGTACCAATACGATCTCCATGGCAGAATAATCATAGTCTGATTTTTTATTGTAATCTTGCATCTTTCTATTAATAAAATTGTTTTTCCTCAAAAAGGTCTTTTAGAAACCGATTACAAGCTCTGCACAAAGAGAGAGGTATACTCCATGCCTCCTGTTTTCCCCAGTGCGCCCCTGCACACAAGTTGAGAAACAGAGCCAACTTGTCATGCACCAGAATAGGAAAATTTATGGTTTTTATTTTGTATGGTATAGTCGAATGGTACACTGACTATACTCGAATGCACCCGAATATATTTTATTTTATTAATAATCATATGTCCTTTAATGTAATTTCATATTATCCCTGCATTTGTTCAGTTCTTTTTGCCAAACAGGTTTACTCTATTCAGCTAGCAATTCAAATTCAGCACTTTCAAATTCAGTTTCAGACAATAGTTCCTGTTTCAGACAATAGACCATATTTCAGACATTAGCCTCCAGTTCCAGCTTGTTGTGTCAAACATAGCCTTAGTATGCATCAAAAACAACGGATGAAGGTCATTCAAATTCAAATAAAAAAGGACGGAGGTACTATAATTGTTTAGATAGTTCAGATACTTCAAATGAAAAGGGATGGAGATTGGAGACTTCCTGATTGTGTAACTTGCGTTAAGGAAACGGGTTTAGGCCCTGTTTATTTTGAACTTAATGGACTGAATTGAATGGGTGACTGATTCGGTCAGTTATACACTCTTGTTTATTTAGGATTTAACTTTTAGCAAAACTTATTCGCTCAGACATATTAGGACTTAATTGTTCAGTTCCTTGAGTAGACTCCTTAGCATTCAGACGCAAGTGTTCCTCACATATTAGGACTTAATTGTTCAGTTCCTTGAGTAGACTCCTTAGCATTCAGACGCAAGTGTTCCTCTTTTAACCTTTTCAATCCTTCCTCATAGACTTTACAGACAAGCGAGACATGCGCTATCCGCAAGTGACAAGCTCACCTCCACTCCGATATGCCCACCACGTTCGTAACCAATTAACCATCAACAAGCGTTTCCTAGTCTCCAAGCTCACCTCCAATTCAGGAATTGAACATACACAAATCATCATCATTACAAAACATTAATATATGAATTCGAGTAGTTCGCCAATAATTTTTAGGATTTTTGCAGAAATTTCAGGAACTTGAATATAGATTGAACATGTATTGATATTCTCCGTATGGAATTTTCTAGCAGCTGCACATAAGTATTGCCAAAATTGTTTTGTATAATATGAATTTTCAGCGGTTGTCGAAATGGCATGCTCTGCTGTGAATTCCCAGAAATTCCATCCTTTTTTAACAGATGCAGTGTTGAAATTAATTTTGAGGGAAGAAAAATAAAGGTTCCTAATTTTAAATGAAGATTAATAAAATAATTGATTTTTGAGATTCAACATTATCGTTTAAAATAAAAAAAAATAAACACATATGGGGTAATATATATTCAACACTTCTTCAAACGGTAAATCGGTCAATGAACAGAATTCAGTCTGCTCATTCAGCATACAAAGTAAACAACTTGTTATCTCAGTGTCACTTAATCCAGACAGACGTCTTAATACAGATAGACAACTTAATGCATACAAGACTTAATGAGAAAAAAAGTAAACAACCCCTTAGTGATAGTATGACAAATCAAATCTTTCTAATTAATTTAGAAAATGCTTCAATATCCTAGTGATTTAACCAATATGATAAATATTACACGTATTTTTATCAATATTGCTTAAATATGATATAATATTGTATTTGTTTGTCTATATACACGCACACAAAAAATAATGTAAGAATGTATAAATATTCTAACCAAATATTAAATAATAATGATAATAACAAAATATAAGAATGTATAGAAACGAATATAAATTTTAGCATGCTCTACAAATACGTTTCTTTTAAAATTAAGATAGATAACATGAACAAAATACCCTTTGTTCCATGGACCAATCAGAATGTTGCAATTGAATTATTTAAATCTAAATTGTTCACATAGACCAATCAGAATGTT